TTCCAACCTTAATGATTCTATGATTATCTCTTTAGTTTAAATTTAGCTTTACACAATTACCATGACTGCGAGGATTAACACTATCAAACGACAGCGGGAAATGAAGCTTACTTACACACAATTTTATCCACGGGATCATGGTCATCAAATGTAACAAATCCAAACCCTCTCTTTTTACCAGACTGTCTGTCAGTAATTATTTCAATAGTGTCGATTTTTCCATATTCCTCAAAGTAGTCACGAAGGTGGTGCTCTTCTGTGTCCTCTTTAATACCACCAACAAACAGTTTTTTCACAGTAACATGAGCACCAGGTTTTCCAGATTCCTGTTAAAAGAATCCTTCAAATTACCACAAAGAAAAACAAATTGACAAATCACTATTTTACCAGGATTTCAGGAATGGAATACTGGGAAACTAAGCTTTTTCAAACACTGAGGTAGCCCTCTCACAATCCCATGTCCCTGAAACCTTGCTTGAGGGGCCTCCTGCAAGGGAAGCAACATGGGGTAACTTGGAGGGTTTTCCTCCCTCTTTTATGTTAAGGCCTTTAAGCACTGAAAAAGATAGATAGAAACACTATGAAATGCATAACAGTAAATAAAAAGGCTTTAAACATCTTCAGAGAAAACATAAAATCAGCTCTTTGAAAGAACTGCCAAGTATTTAATAACATAAACTAGAGCTTGCTTTTTGTAATTGAAACAAAGATGTGTCAGTTTCCTTTGCCCGTTTCCCCAACAGCACTGAAGCCCACAGTCCACTCACATAAACATCAAGGGTCCTTCAACCTCAGTGAATCCACAGCTATGCATTTTAACACCTATTCAGTATATGAAGACAACTCCTCACATTCCTTGGTTACCTTTACACTTCGAGCATGATATCCAAGCTGCTGCACTACGTAAGAATGACTTATTCTTAAAGCTTAGCAATAGCTTCACATGTGTAACAGTATGCATATATGCTTCTTTAATTACCTTTTTCCAAATGTTAACCAACCCTGCATTCTGCAGGGAATGGAAAGAAAACCAGGATAGTTAACAGGCGTACCAGTGGTTATGATTTCCATTTCCCTTGACCTCTGGAACAGCTCATTCAATGCCAGTTTATCAGCCCAAATGCATTAAACACCTGAGTCCAACCTGAAACTGGTAAACCCTCCCAAAGCTCCCACAACATGGTAAACAGAAGTCACCTAGAATCTGGCACTTGCTCCTCAAGTACTTCTGTGGCAAAATAACCTGGCTGAAAAGTTTACAGGTGTACTGCACTCCTGTGCACACACCAAATTTGTACCCTGAATTTTAAAACTAAATATGCCTCAGGCTAAAACCAGACTAGTCCTAAGATGATTTTGTACACCACCACTGAGAAGAAGAAGAGTTTCCCTCCTACATTCTCTATTTTTAGTCACTTGAGTTATATACCTTTTAGAAATACCCAAAAAAAACTTGGAACAGAGTCAGGAGAGATTGACAGGAGTTTACTAATTTGAGGTTTAGTAATAGTAATCGTTACAGAGAAGAGTTAGTTTGGAATCTGCATTCAACATGTTTTTGCTAACAATATTTTCAGGCCCCAGCTGTGTCCCTTGCAGGCATGATTCTGCAACCAGAATAACTTCATAATTCACTGTGATAATAGACATTTATGTAATAGTGTCATTTAGCAGACCAAAAGTGTGGGAAATAATGGCCCAACTACAGCCTTTTAACTAGAGAATTTAAACACGAGCAATTTCAAACAAGAACAAAGCATAACTGTCCAATCAAAAGAGAGATTCGTTTTTCAAAGCATGTAAAGTATCTGATTTTAAAGCCATACTTACCTCTCTAGCCACAGCTCTCTTAGGCTCAACCACCCTTCCATCAATTGTATGAGGTCTTGCAGCCATGGCTGCATCAACTTCAGCCATGGAGGAGAATGTTACAAAACCAAACCCCCTGGATCTTTTGCTTGCAGGATCCCTCATTACCTAAAAATAATAAATGTGTTTAAACCATTTCTACCTGTTTCACGTTAACTGTAACACTAACAACATTTGGAGAAAACACGTAAACTTAATTTACATTTTCCTTGATATGATTTCAAAACGCAATTGTAATAAAGTAGCAGGCTATGCTGATTAAGTACATGAACAGCACTGCCTGCTGCCATAGAATTTCAAACCATTACTGTCCTCTAAGACTCCACCCATGACTCAGAAATGCTGCTACATCAGTAATTATGTTTCTTCCATCAAAAAATCAAACAGAATTTCTCTAAGGTTTCTGAAGACCACAGACTTTCAATTTTTGCTATGAAATATGTATTTACTGCTCCCAAAAAAAATTCAGTGGAGGAACTTCTGCAAGAGCTGTTGTCCGTGGAGGTATTTAAAAGATGTACAGATGTGGTGCTTAGGGACATGGTTTAGCTGTGGACTTGGCAGCCTTAGGTTTACAGTTGGACTCAGTGATCTTAAGGGCCTTTTCCAACATAAATGATTCCATGAAAACATCACACAGAAAGACATCAGCTTTCTGACAAAGGTTACCACTCACGCAGATATAACAGTGCTCTCTGTAAGCGCTCCCTAATGCGCTTCAGCCAATGACACCCAAGTTAATTTTAAACTGCTGAAATCAGTAGTTTGAGATAATCTGGGAGATTTTACAGGAAACAGAGTGTGAATGCTCCCAAACTCTATTAACAGAGATTGCAAGTCAAAGTCTGGGCATAACTTCAGTGAACTATGTGTAAGCCAACCAACTGTACACTTAAGAAAATTTAGTAGCCCATCTTTTCATTAAGCTATCCAGAAAAAAAACTCCTCACTTTTACAATTTCTAAATATTCTATGCCATTGTTGCACATTAGTATGCCAAACTTACCACACAGTCTGTAAGCTTTCCCCATTGCTCATAATAACTCCTCAAGCTTTCCTCTGTTGTTTCAAAGCTTAAGCCACCAATAAACAGTTTGCGGAACTGCTCCTTTTCCCTCTATCACAGAAAAGAAGATTACATTAATATAAATAACGATACCGCCTCTGCATCTGCATTAGACACAAAGTAAGATTTTCTGAAGTGTCAAAAACTTTCAGTAAGACATTTTTCAAATTAGGCTTGACTATTCTAAATGTTCTACCACTACTCAAGAAACCAAGAAAGTTATGCAGTTCTATGGGTCCACTTTCATGATACGCATTTCATTAATGCGCTTCTTCTCATCTGTCCCTCCAAATACTAAGAATAAGGGACAACACTCAAAGGTTAACAGAATACTCCTCTTCAAGTTCTTTACAAGATGCTTTTTAAAGAAAAGGAAAACAAACCCAAAAGTTCTCATTGCAGGCAACATGAATTCATTCATACTGATTCTATTCCAGACAGCATTTATTTTTAAGAACTATTCTGACTCAAATTGTTGTACATTAATACTATCATTAAAAATAAAAATACATTAAGATATAGACAAAGATGTTCTAAAATGGGTCACCAACTCATATTTTCTCATTTATTATTAAAACAAATGAAAGCTGGAGCATCTGTATAATTAATCTGGGATCCTGCACCACTGGAAGGAGAGGTAAGCCTATCCACCCTCAACAGCAGCAGTATCAAAAGTAAGCAGACTCCCTTAAAAAGGAAATGCGAGCAATACATATTCGCGTATGTATCCACTAACATAAATTATGCTTTCAGTAAGACTTTGTTCTATTACTTTTCAGAGAAATTATCACTGCACTTGTTCAGCAGAAATTTCTGCTGTGATGACAAGTGCATCACATCAAAAAAACCCAGCAGCAATCATAAGGTATTATACCAAAGCAGGAAGGACAACCTTTCAACCTCTACCAGTTGAAAATACTTTTATACTAACTTTTTACACTAAGCAGGCATAATAACTGTCATTTTCTACACACAACAGCAAATGTTTTGCCATTTCAGATGTCAAACAGCAACAATTAAAAAACTGCACTAAAAAGTAGTCCCCTTCCACAAAATTAAATATTTCAGAATATTGTTTGAAATAAAACTGTCCTCAGGGACAAGAGAACTCAAATGCAACAATTACTTCACCTTTACACTATTAACTAGTTTTAAAAATCAAGAAAACCTGCTTGGGTGTTTTTGTTTTCTTTAGGGTGGTTGTTGTTTAGACAACCCAAACACTGCATTGTTAGCTATAACCAACAAAGACAACATGACTAACTACGCACTGGATGTTAAGATAGATGTAAAAAGGAAATTAGACAATCAATAACTAACAATGAGATTTGGAAAATAAGCTAAAGAGTTCAGTGCACAAACACCTTTGTAAGTATTAAGCCAATCTGCATGTAAAGCAATATGTTTTCTGAGGCTGTCCAAGGCCAGCCTGGATTTAGATGCATGTAACCAAAGTACTGTCTCCTCCTTGTACAGACAGGCAAAATTGGACCCAACAGTTTAAAAGCAGAAAACCCATGTTATATCAACTTTCCTTTCACTGCATCTCTTAAAAGGAATAAAGGATGTTACATACCAGACTTGGATTAAAAAGTCATATGCTGCAAGTCATACTATCATTTGTAATTTGAGTAGGCTAGCAGAGAAATAATTTTAAGCAACAATACTGCCAGAAAATTCCTCCCTTCAAATTACTTCAGTTCTGCTCTTGAAAATTACGGACTACTTGCTAATATCTTATAGGCCCACAAAATACACCTTTTCCTACATAATCGATTGTTATGTGTCTAATAATGCACATTTATATTCTCATAAAAATAATCTACCATGTATTAAGTGACATGCAGTGCATGCCCTACCCAGAACAACATATAGGCACCACATACATGTCAGGGTACGGCAATCCCTGGAAGGTGTTCAAGGCCAGGCTGGATGAGGCTTTGAGCAACATGATCTAGTGGAAGGTGTCCCCATCCATGGCGGGGGGGTTGGAACTAAATGACCTTTAAAGGTCCCTTCCAATCCAAATCATTCTATGATTCTACAATGAAAACCACTGTGTGAAAGTATCATAAACATGTTGTTCCACTAACACATGCACAGCCTCCGGATGCAGAGAGACTATTTGTCTTAAACTTGTCAGTTTTAAGAAGCTCTGGTTCAGGTAGCATTAACTTCCCAGGGTCCAGAGGGCTCTCACCATCTGAAGTTTATGCCGAAACTGTAAAATGTATGACAAAAACTACACTCCAGTCTCTCAGAATCTTGATTAAAATCCTCATTTAGGAAAAACAATCCCCACACCATAGAACCCACCTCCACCAAGGCCCACAGTATTGGAAAAAAAAAAACCTCTTTCAAGATTTCCATAGTACACTCTGTGGCAGGAATGGACTGTGAGAGGGTATCTTTATAAACTCTGTAGAATCTTCTTTCGTCCTTATTTTAAACCTTCCTTCACAGGCTTAAAGCAACACTTCAAAGGACTGGAAAATGTGTAGTCTTTGCTAGAAAATTCATCACCAGAGCAACGAAATGTGTTTCATATAGTAATCATGTATGCACAAATACTCCAAGCTGACCGCAGACTTCTGCAGTTAAAAACCCGAGTAACAAAAATGGTTCCGAGATAAGCAAGCCGATCTTGATCGGAGAACTACTATGGCTAAGCCCGCCAAAACGAAAACTGGGTCTACTGGCCCCAAACTAGAAAGACACTACTCTCTCTCCAAGGGCCTCGTTAGCCCCTCTACAGTCTACAGGGATCTGCAATCTGACAGCCTGGTTCTCCCCCCGCTTCCCCCGCCCTGGTGTGATCAGGAGTGAAGCTGTTACCGTGCCGGCTCCGCCATGTGGCGGATGTCAGGAAAACAGGGGCCCCCGCAACCAGAAGGGGAAAATGGCGCCCAGAAGCAGCCGTCGCCGCCAGGGACAGCGATGCGGCGGGAAGGGAAGAACGTCTGCAAGCACCGACCCCACATGAAAATAAATACATAAATAGATAAATAACACCCTGGTCCTCGGACTAAATAGAAACTAAGTGCTGCAAACAGCTTCTAGCGTGCACCTACACACACGGT